TTGATGTTTATATGCCTGACATTTTCGCATTCGTGGAATTCGCCGGTCAATGAGCACCCTCAGGGTCTCCGAAAATAGCATTGTCAATAACATTATTTCAGAAAATAACAATAAATTACGCATTTCGGCGGGTTCAGCCATCTACCGTGATAGTTTATTGATGTGCTTTGTGATATTACATAATTTATGACAGTTACCTTTATATAATACTGTTAGCGTTTTACCAGCCATCTTCTCGCTTCCAGTCGTTCAGAAGAACTGGAATCACTGGTTGTCTGCGTTGCTAGTTGCAGCTCATTTGGCAGCGCTCACTTTTCAATTTTCACTTCTCAAGCCTCCAAGACCTCATCCAGCATGGTTCGCGCTATCCGCCCCCCTCGCCCTACCTACATGAACTCCCAAGTCTCGGGGTTTTACTTCCGCCCGTGTCGCGACGAGAATGACGAGGTGATTCCCGAGTATTTCCGTTGCCGTTGCGGCACGGTCCGTTTTGTATGGAATTCAGGGCGAATTCCATACAAAACGGCTGATTTGCACGACGTTTTCCGTAGAAGTCCGGCTTCGCGAAGGTTGCCAGTAACCAAGCATTGTCCAGCCCCTCTGCTCAAGATTCCAATTTAGGCGTGCCGGTCCAATCTGTCACCGAGGCCGTCGTGCACAAAAGCATCGAATACGAAGGCACTACGACCTTTGCGCTCCCACCGACGCAGCCCTACCGCTATTCGCTCTCACTGAGAAGCGGCAAGCTCCGCATCTGGCTCGAGAACTGCGAAAGCAAGAAACAGTGGTAAGTTGTGCAAATATTATACCGCGGGCGATCTGATCAATCGCTACTGACCGCAGGTGCACGAACGACTTAATACTTATCGACTATGTTAACCCCTCCAACTACATTCCGGATGTGGTGCCGTTGACTGCATCGAGGTGCGTTCATACTATTACGTCAGATCACATTGAAATTTCGGGGTTGATCCACGTACCCTGCTGACTGCAGTGCTTCCGTGAGTTACTGAATCGAGCTGTCGAAGACGCAAGTGAGCTTCCACGATCTCTGCAGAGCACAGAGGAGAGCCATTTGCAGCAGGAATTCTCGGTCAAGATTCAAGCGATGCTGCGCCCTCGTATGCTGACGTACGCGTTCGACTTGGAGCCGATTTCGGTCGAGCGGGTTGATATTCTCGAGGCCAAGCTGCGCGACCTACAGGACGAGGTGAAAGATCTCCGAAGTGACGCGGCAGTCAACACGATAGTAGCAGAGCTGCAAGACGTGGTGAAGAAGCTTCAACGTGACCTGTCGGAACGCGAAGTCGCGGATGCTGATCTTCGAAACCAAGTGGGGTCACTTCAAACTGAGCTAATCACTGCATCGGAAGAACTGAAGAACCTCCGGCAACATTTGTCAGGTCGCGAAGAAGTGATTTCGAGGTTGCAGAACGACATCGAGGGGCTCGAATCAGCTGCAGAGCGTCATGAGACCATTCGGTTGGAGGCAACTTCACGCATAACGTAAAATTGTTTTGGTCAATGCTGGAAAACTATTCAATCGGAGATGATGGCATCATCAGGAATCTGGAGCCAGGGCTATACCAAGTAGCGTTTCAGGTTAGCCATAGTCACTCTAGTCACTCGGTGGACAACCCTAACTCTGTCAACCTAATGAAGGGAAATATGCCCGTCGCCTATGACATGCGCGCGTCCGATATCAGTACGTTGGTCTGCAATCTAGTGCGGACCTGCCTTGAAAGGCATCAGTCAGCTGACACTGACACCTCACATGATGAAAAGTAGGATTGTAACAGTTGGACCTAAGCGACCCTATTAAGAATGCGAAATCTACGACTCCATCAACTTACATTTTCTGGTATTTCGGCTCGGAAGTGCTCTAGCACTTGCGAAGTTAGATTGTATAGTAGCTACCACTATCTCGTTCAAAACCTAAAATGCATGACACGCTAAATCCCAAAGCAAATCTACTTGTATAGTACTCAAAGCCTCGTCCAGCAGCAAAATATTGGGGTTCTTCAGGATCGCACGCGCGATGGCGATGCGCTGCTTCTGGCCGCCAGACAACTGCTCGCCCTTCATGCCCACCTGCGTCTCGTAGCCGTCCGGGAACTGCGTGATGAAGTCGTGCGCGTTGGCCATCTTAGCGGCCTCGTCGATCTCCTGCTGACTCGGCTGCTCGGCCAGACCGTACGCGATGTTCTCGGCGATAGTACCGATAAACAGTGTGGGCTCCTGGCCCACCAGACCGATCTGACTGCGCAGCCAGTTCAGGTTCAGGTCCTTGATGTTGCGGCCGTCGAGCAGCTCTTCGCCAACCACGGGGTCGTAGAACCGCTCGATCCCCGAGATGATAGTGCTCTTGCCTCCACCACTAGGGCCGCAGAACGCCACCGTCTGGCCGGGTTCAATAGTGAGGTTGTAGTTCTTGAGCACGTTGATCTCCGGGCGCGTGGGGTATCGGAACGAGATGTTCTTGAACTCGAGGCGGCCCGCAACCTTGGCTAGACGGAATCCGTCGGAGGTGAATGAATCAATTGGGGCGACGCGATCACGAAGTGCGTAAATCGTCGATCCGGCCTTGAACGCTTTGGGTCCGTCAGTCAAGAATCGGGAGGCAAAAACTGACCGTCTGGATCGACATCGTGATGGCCATCAATGTCCGCATCATCTCCGCAAAACCAACGGTGCCGCCGTTCATCTTCTTGGCTCCAAACCAAAACACGAGCGCATACATGGCCATCATGATGAAGGAGCTGAATCCCAGCGACAGACCACTAACCTGCTCTTCCTTCCGGCCCTTGCGCAGCGGTTCTTGAAGCAGCTCATTAAACGTGGTGGCAGACTTCTTCTCGATACCCAAAGCGGCAACCGTGCGGATGTTCACAAGGACTTCTGACGCGTGGGCTCCTGGGATTGCCAAGTCATCTGAAATCAAACCAGCATCCTCCATCTCCTTCATACGCGCCACCTCCCCGAAAATCAACATGGGGAAAAGCACCAGCATGATGAGCGATAGCAGCCAACTTCCGAACCCGAAGGAGATGACAAGCGCAGCGATCAAAGTGAAGACAGCTTGGGTAAACGCAGCTTGGGACTCCAGACATCAGCGAAACCTTGGTGGCGTTCGTAGCCAAATCAGCAGTCAACGCGCCAGTCGCGTTCTCCTTCTCGTCGAAAAAGCCAACATTCTGTCAACACAAGCCCCTGAAGTTGGCGGTGCGCAAGTGTGTCGTGATCTTCTCCTCCATGTACTTGAAGCAGTTCATTTGCAGATACGTGAAGATCGCGATCACTGCAGCGCCGACGAGGTAGAGAATACCATACAGCTCTACGTCGTTGTACAACGTTGTCAGGTGAGATCGGTCCCCAGGTCCTCTCGAAGAGCGCGTATTGTTCCGTCATAGCAGTGATCATGCCCGTGATTAATAGGGCTGAAGCTGGCACCGCAATGCCTCCGACGCAGGAACCGACCAGCCCAAAGACAAAGTGGTTCCGCGCGAGTCCGTTGAGTTTCAGTAAATCAAACAGGTTGAACGGCTTCTTGTCCAAGAAGTTTGTCTCCACCGCGCTCACTGAAATGTCAGTCTTAGCCGATACCCCACTCAATGTCCGTGTCATCTTCGTACTCTCTAGTCCGTTCTCGGCCTCACGCTTCTCCGCTTCTTGCTGCTCCTCCTGAGATCGCAGCTCCTGGATCCGGTACATGTTCTGGTAGACGCCGTGCTCGATCTTCAAGAGCTAGTCGTGCGTGCCGCTCTCCACAATGTGGCCACCACGAACTTGTCCGCGTTGCGGATGGTGCTCAACCGGTGGGCGATTACGAGAGTGGTCATGTTGGTCGTGGCCATCAGGTTATTCAGCGCTGCCTGCACAATCTTCTCGCTCTCGTTATCCAGCGCGCTCGTGGCCTCGTCCAGCACCAAAATGTTGGGCTTGCGGACAATGGCACGGGCAATGGCGACTCGCTGCTTCTGGCCGCCAGATAGAGAGACGCCCTTCTCGCCCACCAGCGTGTCGTACTGCTCCGGCAAGGACATGATGAAGTTGTGCACGTTCGACAGCTTGCAGGCCTCGATGGCCTCTTCACGGGTCACGTTGTCGCCACCCATGGCGATGTTCTCGAAGATGGTCGTGGCGAACAGCACAGGTTCCTGCGACACCATGCCGATCTGCGAGCGCAGCCACTTGACGTTCAGTGTCTAACATCCCGTCCGTCGAGGTAGATGGTGCCGCTGGTGGGGTCGTAGAAGCGTTCAATCAGAGCAATCAGCGTACTCTTGCCGCCGCCACTGGCACCAGCGAAAGCCACGGTCTGACCAGGCTCAATGGTGACATTGTAGTCGCGCAGGATCTGGGCGTCAGGACGACTCGGGTACGTGAAGTTGACGTTCACCGCATCGATCTTGCCTTCACACGTGTCAGGAATGATTCCCTCGTCCTCTTTCTCCGCATCGATAGCACTCGCAGTGTCCAGGATCGAGAACAGTTGCTCAACAGCACCAGCGGCCTTAGCCACAGCGGAAACACTCGGGGAAACCTGGCCGAGAGAACCTGTTCCCATCATGACGCCAAAGAAGGCAGCGAAAACACCCCCCGGCGTTGGTTCCCCCTTTGAAGCATTCCACCCGCCGTACCAGAGTCCGACGGAGTACATGATCCACATACTAGCCAAGAACAGCGCATACACCACTGTCACCACCATGTTCAGCTTGATGTTTTCCGTCTCTGCCTTGAAAATCTTGCTCTCAAACTTCTCAATTGCCTTCTGCTCTCCATTCAACGAAGCCACAGTGCGGATAGAGCCCAGTGTCTCCTTGGCCACTGATCCTGCTTCAGCATACACTTTCTGGGCAAAGTCCGACATGATCGTGAACGTTTTGATCATCCAGCTGAGCGAGAGCGCCATGACAGGCATCACACACGCCATCACCAGCGTGATATCCCACCCATGGGCGGATCCGATGATAAAACCCACGACAAACTGGATCGAGTATCGAAACGAATCGCCGAGCTTGTGGCCCATGCCGTCCCTGATCCTCACCGTGTCCGCCCGTCAACCGACTGGACAACTGCAGCACGTCGTGCGCGTCGTACCAGCTGATGTCCATGTACAGCATGTGCTTGAGCGCTTCACCCCTCAGTGCCTTTATCTGTCGCTCGGCGCTGTAGTAGAACGCCACGTACGAGACGTAGTCCGTGATGAAGAGGAAGATGGCGATATACAGATAGTCGAGAGCCGCGCTGTTGACCTTGTCCATGTCCACAGGCGTGGTAGTGAACCCCGTCAATACATCGCCGAAGACAATGGCCATGAGGGGGAACAAAGCGCCATTGGCTCCCGTCGTGATGATACCGACCGCGAGTAGAACTTTGTGGCGTAGCGGTACAAGTTGCTGAAGTTGAAGGAGGTGGGGCCATCGTGCACCATTTCATGACGAAGGTCCGGTTCCTTGGCCCCAGAGTCGCTGCTTGTGCCGTAGCTTGGGGTGTCCACCCGCTTGGACGTCGACAGCAACGGCGCGAGGAGTTTCTACGCGCTGGTAGGCGCCTGCATCTTCGGGGGTGAGCTCCGACTTCCTCAACATGACGCGACTTCACTGGGTCTCGCTTGTGGGTGTCTTGGCAAACCGCGAAATGCGGCTCGACAATATGCTGCATCGAGTAGTGTCCGTGACACCCTTACGAACGGCGAGATGCGTCGAATAATCATTCGGGCGTAGAATAATCAATGTTTCGTCTTTGTATGCAATTCATCATGATTGCGTACGCTGAAGCACTCGCTGATGTGAAGGGTCACCTCATCGTTAAGTTTCTGCAGGGTTATGTAGTGCTGTGTGTTGCTGTTGTGCCGGTGAGGTTTTAAAAGCGTTCCAGCGTCCACGCGGCCGTGGACAGCGGCACTGACGAGCAACTTGTGCAGCCCCCCAATGGCGCTGCCAATGACGCAGCTGCTGAGGGCTGCGAAACTGCGCGCGGGCGGCCAGTTGACGCAGATCGTGACGTGCAACCCCAAGAGCCTGGAGGACGCGCTGGTGAAGCAGTTCCAGCAGCTCGGCGAGGCGCTGGGCGTGACGGAGGTGGGGGAGGCCATGGCCCAGCAACACTACAGCAGACTGCAGCAGTTGAAGGAGCAGGATAGAGTATTTGTAGATAGTAATGGTAGGAAAGCGAAGGTGTTGATGGTGGAGTGGCTCGAGCCGCTGTTCCTCGGCACGGAAGGCTGGATGCGGGAGATCGTGGAGGCCACGTGGTGGAGGACCTGGAGGATGGGGGAGAAGTGGACGTGGTGGTCGTGGCACTGTGCGGACTGAGTCTGGACAAGACGGAGACGGAGCTGCTGGAAGGACGCGTCGGGGACTGGTGGACGTCGCTGCTGAAGGGTGAAGCGCATCCGAAGGTGTTCATTATGGACGGCACGTCCATGTTCACTCGTCTGACGAGGCGGCTTCTGGTGGCGCTGGAGTGGCTCGTGCACGCGCTGCATGAACCGGAGAGCGGCTGGATGAAGGACTCGACGTTCCCGTACAAACTCTTCGACACGTCGCTGGTTGCGAGGGATTCGAAGGCTGAGGAGACCAAGTCGGCGGAGTTGCTGGAGATCGAGGAGCTGCATCAAGCTGCGTGCACCAGCAAGCAGGCCATGTACACAGATCCAGCCACGGGTTACTCCGTTATGGCAGCGTACATCTTGACGGAGCGGCAAGTTTGCTGTGGCAACGGGTGCCGCCACTGCCCCTACGGCCACGCGAACGTCAAGGACCCGTCTCGGCGCAAGAACGCCCTAGCTGGTAATGTTTTCCTGCAGCCGCGTCGTCGCTCACGCGGTTTCGCGAAGGGATCCCCGGGTGGCCAAAAGCTCTGGCCCGAAGGTGCTGACGCTGGCTCTGACGCGCAGAACGACCTTGTGGTCATGTTTTGGAGTGGCGGGAAGGACTCATTCTTGGCGCTGGGTGCCTTGTACGAGTCTTACGCTGTTGAACAGAAGCCTATGCCTCGCGTTGTGCTGCTTACAACGATCGACCCGAAGACAAACGTCGTCCCTATCCAGGACATCCCCTCTCAGACTATTGCAGCTGAAGCCGAAGCTCTGGAACTTCCTTTGTGCCTAGTAGCTGTGGGACTGGGAGACGAGTACACGGCTGCACTGAGGAACGCACTCCGCGATATTCCGGAGCAAATGAAGCGAACGAAGAAGTCCAGCAAGAGCCCCGAGCAGAACGGTACGACTCCGAGCGTTTCTGCCCTTGTATTTGGCGACCTTCACCTGGACGATATCTCGATCCAGCAGTGCACGCCTACAGTCAAGAAAACAGTACTTCAGTATCAGTTTATGCGTCAACAATTGTGCAATATTTCTCTTTAACAATAACAACACCTCATCGTGAGGATTGGCCCCACAGTCAATGGGATGGGCGTGTCATCTCAACAGATACAGGAAGCTTGCTTGGCATCGTTCGAGAGCCGACGGCTCGTTGCCCTCCGGGAGCCTTTACGGCAGTTCCAGAATGTAGAGTGGCGAGTGAGGCTTGGCTTCCTCTGTATGGCACTGCGTAAAAGTGACTAGAGTGTTGCTTGGAGGTCGTTGCTGCGCCTGAGCTTGAGGCGGCCTTAGTTGCTAGAAGTTGAGGGTACAGTACAACTTCAACCTACAGTCATGTGACGTAAATTGTGCAGATTTCCCTCAGCCCGATGACAAAGATGTCCGCCGAAAACGGTAGGTGGACGTCAGTGTCCACGTCGGTGAAGAACAGAAAGAGGCTCGAGCAGATGTGGACGAACTTCTCCTTTCCAGACAAATCTGACGAACGAATCAGCTCCTCGCCAGGCCACTCATCAAACCATCCAAACTAATGATTTGATGTGCATCAATTCGCAGCGCCCTCACTTCAAAGTCTCCACTTCACTTCCGATTCCGCGAGCTCTCAAGCACGAGCCGCTCCCAATAAAGCAACCAACGGGCGTCATGGCGTGGCGCGACCTCCGAATCATCCAGCGTCTGGGGCTGCGTGTGCCGCTGTTCCAAGCTCCGATGGCCGGCGCGCAAGCCAGCGACCTCGCCATTGCCGTGGCCCGTGGCGGAGGTCTCGGCGCCATTTCTTGCGCTCTGCTGTCCCCGGACACCACGTGCAGCGCTTCCGAGCCGCGACGACGGCGCCGATCAACCTCAACTTCTTCTGCCACTCGCTGCCTCCTGCCAACGCTAAGGCGGACAAGCAGTGGCAAGATATCCTCGCTCCACACTACGAAGAGTACGGCGTGAACCTCGCTCACTTGACAGCGCAGGGGGCGCAACGGATGCCGTTCGACGAAGGGAGTCTCGAGCTGGTGCGGGAGCTCCAGCCTGAAGTCGTGAGCTTCCACTTCGGCCTGCCGGCTCCTCACATGCTGCAAGGCGTCAAGGACACTGGCGCCTTCGTGATCTCGTCCGCCACCACTGTGCGCGAAGCTGTATGGCTCGAAGAGCGAGGCTGCGACGCTATCATTGCTCAGGGGGTGGAGGCAGGAGGCCATCGAGCTGTCTTCCTACCCAGAGAGGGTAACAAGCCTAGCTCCTCTGGTGAGCAGTACCGCAACAGCTCCATGGATTTCCCACGACAGATTGGGACGATGTCGTTGGTCCCGCAGATCGTCGACGCAGTGAAGCTCCCGTTGATTGCAACGGGTGGAATCGGCGACGCTCGAGGGGTTCTAGCTGCAAGTGCACTTGCTGCAACCGCAGTGCAAATGGGTACCGTCTTCCTGCTCGCCGACGAGACCAAGACGTCGGCTTTGCATCGACAAATGTTGAAGCGGGCGGCGACTGCAACGGGGGAGGAAGCTCTGGAGACGGCGATCACCAACATTTTCTCGGGCCGACCAGCTCGAGGATTCGTGACGCGTGTGATGCGGGAGCTGGGTCCCATGTGTGCTGCAGCGCCAGAGTTCCCCACGGCTGGAGCACCACTCGCTGCGCTCAAGAAGGCTGCGGAGGTAAATGGAGACACGGCCTTCTCGTCCATGTGGTCGGGTCAGTCACCGGGCTTTGCGAAGGAGAAATCTGCCAAGAACATTGTGCGCTCATTTTCAAACCTTCTCCGTGAACACGTTTGGGGCAAAAGGCAACGTCCTTAGATCACCGAAGGCATGCCTCGCAGCGGGTTCGCAGTGAATCCGTGCGAGGCAGCCCCCGATGAAATGGCGAGGTGGACTTGGATGGTCGCCTTGATGGGTGCTTGGCTGGAGTTGGTTGTTGGGTGTGTGATGATGCATACTTGAGTGGCTTGGTCGCGATGGTCGCCGCATGCCCTTGAACGAGCGAGCTTCGTGACAGCTCCGTTGTCCGCGGCAGCTTGGCGCCTCACCCCAGGTTGAAGAAGAGGGGCGAAGGTGGGGAGGGCGCCGGAGCTGTCGAGGCCATCAGCTACTTGTTGATGCTACAGCATTTTCCTCGTCGCACGGTGCACGGCGAACGAGATGTCGGGCCGCGTGCACCTAGAGATCCAGAGCAAGCTCCCCACAAATGACTGGAATGTCTGCACCGTCGGGCGACCTGGTGTGCCAGCACCACCACTTGGCAGCAGCTCCCCTGGCGCCTCGCCGTCTTGTTCACCGCCGATCGGCGTGCTGACCGGGCCCGCTTTGCCCAACCCGAACTTCACCAACATGACCAGGATCACCTGCTCCTGATCGAGAGTCCAGCCGTCCTCCTCGTCGTAGCTGAAGGCGATACCCAGGAACTTCGACACGACTCCTAAGCCCTTCAGCTCCACAATCTGCATGTCCTGGAAGAACTTGTCCACCTTCTCCACGCTTGTGGCCGTCACGAGGATGTCGTCGACGTACACGCCGACGAGCGTCATGCCATCCTCCTCGATATTGACGTAGAGGCAGCTGTCCGAGTAGCACTGCCGGAATCCCAGCGACAGCAAGATGCTGTGCAGCAACTGGTTCCACAGCCTGCCCGACTGCTTGAGCCCGTAGAGCGCTTTCTCGAGCAACAACGCCAGCTCGTATTTGCTCTTGACACCCAGCGCACGGAGCTGCTTCTCCGTGAAC